TTTTTTTTTTCTTTTTGGGTTCTCTACATCAAATTTGTTTGAAGATTTTCTTGAACTCGTGGATATTATGTGAAAAATAACAATATTTTTCAATAATTTTGTCAACAATTTAGAAGTGACACAGGACATTGTCTTACCTGTAACACCAACTATTATTGTCAGCAAAAATATATAAATAAATAAATAAATAAATAAATAAATGAAAATAGGAAGATACTGTGTTGTTTCAAGTACAAGTCTACAAGAGAATCTATTATATTAAGAGCACCTCTAAATTATTCAACAATGAATATAATAAATTTTTTCCTTTCTATTTAATAATTTGTATTAAAAATTAAACAATTATTATTCTTTATATTTAATGTATTTTATTTAAATTTTAGCAGTATATCATATGGTAACAGATGGATATACAATAATTGAGTGGGGGCACAAGCACCCCGTACTTGGGACAATGACTACGTGAACTTGCCAAGAAAGTACAAGCTGTTGATGCATCCAAAGTTGTGTAGACAGTACAATACAAATTATTAGAAATATGTAATTGGATTTTTCAGTAGATTTATATATCCTTATCATAAATTTGGATAATTTTTATTTACACTATTGTTAGTTGAGATATCTTACCGTTAGGTGACGTCCTTCTTTTACAAATATTATATACTTATATTGTTGAAATATCATATTTTAACTTGTATGGTATTTTAAAGCACGACAATTGAAATGGAGTGTAGACGAGCCGAGCAGTTCTCCAAATAATCGAGTGTTTATGGGTCCAAGTGGGTTTTATGGTTTATTGGGTTGTAAACGATAACGAGCCGAGCTTGGCGAGATTCGTATAACGAACGAGCCAAAAATTGAGTTTAAATTCAACTCGTTTATCAATCTTAACGAGTCGAGTTTGAGCATTAACGAGTCGATCTCGAGTTTTAATGAATCGAACTATATCATATGTAAGGTATCTTTTCGAGTCTCATCGAGCAGATTTGAGCCAAACCGAACCTGACTCGTTAACGAAACGAGCTTTAAACAAGTTTGAGCTCGGTTAATTTAGTTTTGATTGAAACAACGGCTCATTTAGTTTAAGAACTATGGGTTACCACATAACACATGGTTTGTAGCTAAACTGGTCCGCTGTGGATTTGTGGCGGCCTGCTGATGTGAGTTCACATCTTCCACGGGCCAGATTTACTAGTTACTATATGAGAAGTGGCAGTCATGTTGGGCCAAGGCCCAAATTGTGTTCTAATGGGACTTGGTTAGTTTCCATATTTTCTTTATAAAAGTACTTGTGCTCTGTATATTAGGATAAATAAATAAATAAATAAAATAGAGAAGCGGGTTTCAATCTTTTTCAAATTATGGTGTTTCCGTAATTCTACATACAGTGCTTTTACAGTTCGTTGTATCATTTTCATGTGGTTCGAAGTTATCATATGACTTTTGTTCATGCAGATTATTGAAATTATAGAACAATTCAACATATTTTAAAAAATAATAATATTTAATACCGAATTTATATATTATATGTGAATTAACCATCTCTCAGCGAACTTCGATCGACATTCATATTGCATGGTGATATGAGATACCATACCTTAAAAAGCAGATATAATAAACCGATCGATTAGACCGAACGAACCGGATGGTCGAACAGAATCGCAGGAGGGTCGAACGTAGGCCGAAAGCAAGTATGAAGCAAGAAGTCTTCAAGTCAAAGAAGACATGAGGGGTTCAAAGGACCTGGTCGAACTAGGGTCCTCGAACGGCCTGGGAAAACTCGACCTGAAGGTACGGTGGGTTGTCTAATCGATCAAGAGGACAACACTTAGACACGGTACATGCAGCATTATACTTCAAACAATGTTCTAGCTGGTCGCACTATTGCGCGGTCTAATACAAGGATTAATGTATAAGAAAGAATTTGAATAGGATAAGTCACACGTGCATAGGGCCACGTGGCCTAATAGAATTGGGCAGTTCAGGCAGTACGAACTGGTAGTTCAGGCATCTACTCAGTCAGTCTTGAGCAACGAGGTATCACCTCCCCATATAAGGCAGTGAGGTTTGCCCTTTATCACATTAAATTATCAATTATTCTATATACGCATACTGCACTTCATTTTCTACAAGTGCTAACTTCAGCATTAAAGACTCTTCCCCGAAAAACTATTCCGGTGTGAGAGTCTTTACAGGTCTAAAGGTGTTTAACCAATGAGGAGCTCGAGAGTAGGTCGAATCTAGCCGGTCGGATGTATTTTGAGTACCACGTATACAAACAGATATACATTTGTCCTTATAATAAACTTATTATCTGTCAATATTAATTACAAATAATGAGTTTATTCATCTATCCATCGAATAATATATATCGAGTCTATTGCATATGAATTATAAAATACATTAGATACAAGTGAGATAAGCCGTACTATTATCATTTTAATGATGAAATCCGCAAATAATTCGAAAATAGGTCCAACTGTAAAATTTTTATATATCAATAACAGTCTGGTGTTCAAATTTTCTGAGGATACGTAATTGTAAAAATAATTTTAAGAATTTCACAACTAAAATAATTTTAAGAATTTCATAACAAAAAAACTTTTAGTTATTTAAAAAATGAAAATTTTCAATTACATCTTTTCCCTCCTCTCCTTTCAGTCGAGAATCACTTCGCTCAATAAAGGTTGGTAAATACTATAATTAAATCCCTATATATACAAAATTGATGAAAGAAATATAAACCTTACAAATTAATAAACCTTACAAATTAAAGATGAATTAAGTTAACTTTTACTTTTATGTTGTAGTTTTAATCACAAATTGATATTCTTATAAATAATATTAAATACAAATCAGGATATATATATATATATATAATTTTTTTTAAAAAAAAACTTTATGTTAAGGAGCCGGTTCGCGTGTCTTGATCTTTTTAAATATGAATAATGATGTAACTTTCAAATAATTATTTTAAATTAAAAAAACCTTATTTAAAAAGTATAAATTATTTATTAGCACCATGTTTTGCTATGTTTGATAGAATATCTTATTTAATTAGCATATAAAATTTATGTATTCAAATAAGTTTCGCTTGGTAGGATGAACTTTATTAAAAAACTCGAACTTATCTCACAAGTATTTGGTAGCTTTTCAAATAAGCTCGTTGAATTCTTTATTTCAACTAACTTATCAGCTAATTTCACAAACATTTTTTTATATAAACTAACTTTTCAACTATGTCATAAGCTATAAACTATAAACTCAAAAATCACTTATAAGCTATAAGCTATCTTATCAACTATCAACTATATTACCAGTCAGTTTTACCGAACATATCCGTAATACACGAATTGTACATTACTAATAAATAATAATTAAA